TCAAGGCTTTTGCCTGGGTGCCATCATTTCCTCCAGCAGGTGCAGCACAGTCAGAAGGTGCAGGTAGAGGCAAAACAGCTGGAACTGCCGGCAAAGCTTTGGGAGTCAGGAGTCCCTTGGGCCGGCCCCATCTGAGAGCAAGGAGTTGCTGGAAGGAGGCTTCTCCAAGCTATCATTGTTCAAGATTTTCTGGCTCAAGGCATCCAAAGCTCTGGCCTGTTTCTCCATCATGTCAAAGAGATGGGTGGTCACCATACTGTTTGTAGGATCTTTCCCTGTCGAAGGCTCTGCTGGCAACTGCTGAGAGGTTGCCTGTGGAGTGGCCACAGCCCTGAGTTCCTTGGCAGTTCCGCTCACCGTGACTTTCTTGGCAATGCTTCCAAGGTTTATCATATGACTGGTAGCGAGCAAGCAGAAAGCCTGCAAGTGTTTATGTTCAAATGAAAATATGTATACGTGTCCATGTGTGTGTGTGTTCAGGGATTATGTCATGGCTAAATTTTGACTTCAAAATTATCAGCTTGAAAGCAGCCATCACCAAAGATTCTACAAACCCAGTGCCTCCCCAATGTCGTGGGGGCTAGGTGGGTACCTTGCCAAACCAGCATGCAGAGGTTGAGCCACCACAGCCTCGAACGTATCCAGCACAAAATTTGTACATGTCAAAAACTGGAGGCAAGACATTGGTGATTTCACCTGAAGGCTGACCAAAAAGGATGTCAAGTACTTCTTGGTGTCTTCTTTGAGGCTTTTCAACCCACACACTTTGATTCTTTTGATCAGCATGTGGGTAGCATCAACTGTGTTGATGCCATTCTGCATCTGCTGCCATTCGCTTTGGGACAGGTAGTTCCAAGGCGTGGTCATGCTTTGAGGTGTAGCCTGCAACCTGGTGGCCCCTTGGATTGAAGAGGCTGCCCTTGATTCGAGAAATGCTTGCAACTCTGCCTTCGTGTCAGCAGTCAAGATGCCATTTTGAACAGCATCAGGACGCTTCAAGAAGTTAGAAGCAGCGAGCATTTGGACACCATTCACTTTGGACTGCAAAGCTTCCTGCATTCGTGGCACCAGCTGTGAACCAGCGTTCCTTTGGTAAATCGCTTCCATATCACTAATCTCCTTGACTAAGTCCTCAACGTCCCAAGTAGCCATGGTGATCAAAGGATCTAGGCTAAGGTGAGCCCACAATTCCTATGGGCCCACTGCAGCAGAAGCAGAAGAGAATTGATTCTGCTAACCTTCAAAGTTAGAATTATGACAGCTCCTTTGGGCATGGGATAAAGGAGTTTAAGCCTTTACATGAAAGCCCCTTTGGGCAGAAACAATTTAGTTTACAAAATAAAATGAAAGCCCTATCAGCAAAACCTGTAGCAAGAGTCGGTGGGAATGGGTTCTGGGACCCTTTAAGGTTAGAAGCATATAAACTTCAGTGGGCTCTCATACCCAACCCTGGACCTTTACATGAAAGCCCCTTGGGCATAAACCACAATAGTTTCAAAATAGCAGGAAAGGCCACTGGGCCAGAAAAAAACAAGTACACCACATGGTGTTTTTTTAAAATATTTTTTCTCCCCCCACAGTATTTTGATTCCACCCAAGTATGTTTTCATCCAGGCTTTCCATGCACTATGGGCATACAGCTGCAGCTATCAGGCGCAGATAGCATCGCCAGAAGGAACGGGGACCCCAGCCAACATGTAACTGATTTTGATCAAGTTCTTCAGGCTGGCAGGCAAAAGATGTGGGCCTTCATTCTGCTTGAAGTGCTCAAGAGCATCCTGCCTGAGCAAGCGAGCAATTTGTTTACGTCTATCCTCATACTACCTGAGTTCCCGTATGCTTTAAAAACATGATGAATTTCAACCTGGTAACCAAGAATCAAAACCTGATTGATGAATCTCGACATACCAGAGGCTCTTCCATCCATTGGATGAGGTCCAGGTTTGAAACTGTCGAGATACCATTGGATCAGTGGCTGAACCCCGTGCCTGACCCCTATTACTGGACATCCTGACAGCTTACACCTTGACAAGAAAAATGCAAAGGACACATGTCTGATGCACTAATGGAACACCAAAACCTGAAGCATCAATGTGCTATACTTGTGACAGCTTCAAAAAATGAAAGCATCAATGTGCTTTTTGGCTAAAAAAATGAAAGCCCTAAAGGCTGCTTATGTAAAAACTACATTATTTTTTTGATAGTTGTGCCAAATAGTAAACCAAATTAATATCAAAATCTGAAAAGTAAAAAATATACTATTGTAGGTTCAAGTTAAGGTTCTGAATTGAAATGCCAACTGTTTGTTTTCCAATTTAGATTTCTGAATTGACATGGAGATTGTTTGATTTTCAATTTGGAATTCTGAATTGAAATGGTGATCGTTTGATTTTCAAGGTAGATTTCTGATTGAAATGGTGAATGTTTGATTTTCTATTAGATTTCTGAATTTAAATGGCGACTGTTTGATTTTCAATTTAAATTTCTGAATTGAAATGGTGACTGTTGGATTTTCAATTTCGATTTCCGAATTGAAAATTGCGACTGCTTTATTTTCAATTTAGAAACAGAATTGAAATTCTTACTGTTTGATAGTTTGATATAAGGTTTTTTTTAACCACCCAGGCTTTGCTGGAGTCAGTAAGATCTTAGGCGAGTACAAGTGTTCAAGCCATACTCACCCTCCAAGTTCTCTTGCCATCCACACTTTTTGACGTAGCCCACCAAAGCTGCCACATACGCCTTCACCCGTGAAACCTCTTCCCATCGTTATAGTAGGCATCTCATCCTGTGCGCTTCTCCAAGCTTCCAAGCAACTACTAGCCCAGAAACTTTCCTGAACCAACCTCCACTAGAAGTTCCTCGAGGAGGCACGAACTCTGGTACCTGAGAATGAACAATACTAAATGCATAGATCAAGAAACTTGAATCCCACACAGAAAGCAAAACCATAGAAACATATGATGCTTGAGAAAATGTATGAATTTCCTATCAGATACATCTTGAGTAGAGGACGGCCCAGTCGAAGCTTGAGAGCCTTTTTGTTTGGTGCAATAAAGAAGCTTCTTCACCTGGTCAGGAGTACAGGTCAACCTCCCCCATTGCTTCTGGAACTGGACCAGGTAGTTCTTTGGGGATGCATGCTGCTGAAGCCTCAGAGGGGGTACTTCAGGAGTGGCAAACCAACATCAGGTTGAACTGGCAAAACCGTAGTTGCACTGGCTGGTGAAGACGCGCAGATACCTGGACTTGGGCCAGGTGCCATTGCCATAGAAGCTTCAAGTAGTAGTGGTGCACCTGGGTGTTTGGCTTTAGAACCTTCCACTTCTCGCAGAAAACCAGATCCACTACTGGGCTCACCTGGTGGCTGTTCTGGCAGGTCAGGCATCAGGCCATCCATCTGCAGCCTGTATGCAAAGTTCACCAAGAGGTCCAAGGTCTGCTTTTGCAACTCTTCTTCATTCAAAGGATCCTGAGAGGGGACGACAGCGGGGCCAAAAACAATGAAGTGATGAGTATGACAAAATGAAGGGGGTTGGCCGCCATCACCCTCCCTCTTCATCACTACAGGTGGAAGTGGTGGAACATGTTTGCATTGCTTTGTTGCTTGTGTTACATGCCCATGAGGTTCCTTTAAGGTTTTTTCTATAAAACTATGCTTATTACTAAGATTGCAACTGCAACTACAAACTCCTGACAACCAAAACATTCCCATGCATGAGCGCACAAGAGTCCCAAACTTGCATGCGCATTCCAAAACTTTGTAGCTTGCAGGGATGGAAAGCAACACAATTGACACTGGAGGACTCTTCTGCCCAGAGTTCAAATTGGCGTGCGTTCGCGCGTGCTGGTGACAGCATCTCTTGGAGCAGAAAACGGACGCTGCGCAGGTTGAGGGGCAAGGGAAAAAATTGCGACTTTCTGTTGAACTTGTACACACATGTAGACATATTTACTTGTGTATATAGTATATATGCATATAGAATGACGTTTGAGTACGTTTGTGCGAGGAGGAACGAAATAGACCCCAAAGGTCCCTGCCACATATATATATATATATGTACATGGGTTTTCAAAACAGCGAAATGGTTTTTATATGTGGGATTAACCATGGTGCGAACCATGATGGGGATATGGTTTTTAAAAGTGATGGTTTCTGATCAACTCATGGGATGAAGATTTTGGCCACCGCTGAATGGTGAATCGGGGGGGGTTAATAGAACAAGAATTACAAGGCCCACCATTGGGATAAGCCCCTGGCTAACTATTGAAAATTGAGATATTGAGAATTTGGAAAAGACAAGGGTAAAGCGGCATAGAAATACACGTGAAACTTGACTAGACACGTTGAATATCTCATCTCTATGTCGGTTTACTGGAGGATTGCCCATCAAACATGCGAGGATTTGCGGTCTTGAAAAGTAAGAGGGATGTAAACAACCAACAGTAAGAGGGAAGGTTCTGGGGTTCCCAGTGGCTTCGCGGCTTCGCATCAACTCAGCAAGTGCAATCAGGGAATGTTTGTTTTTCTCGCAAGGTGAGAACCCTTATCATCACCACCTGACAGACTTTAGGTACGATTTCATCAACCTAGTCGTTGAGTCGTGGACGATGACGGCGATGATTGTAATCATGTGGGGATTTGGATGGATTTGGTCATCAAGAATACTACAATGATCTGCTGGTTGGTGGTTTGGAAGATTTTTCATTTTTCCATATCTTGGGAATAGTCATCCCAACTGACTTTCACTCCATCATTTTTCAGAGGGGTAGAAACCAACCACCAACCAGTACAATGATCTGCAATCCCTTTCCCCTAAGATCACAAAGAATCGAAAGCTTGGTGGTCGATGGGATCCACATCCCATCCGACCCCATGATTTGACTGTCAAGTCCCGATTTGGTTGTGATGCTTCCCTATGAAATCCCCCCCAAAAACCCATCCTGTTGGAATTCCTTCCTAACATCACCACGGAAGAAATCACCATACGTTTGCTGAGGCCGGTTCCAGTCAGGACAGGGATCGGGGGGGCCAGGAAATCTGAAGCCTCCCATTTTGGGCTGGTTGGACCTGGAAATTTTTGCTGGTAAAACCCGGTTTTTGCTGCTGGGGTTTCACCATGACCATCTTTGAGTGGCCACTTGCACCGTTCGGGTAGTTTTGCTATCGTACCCTCTGGTAATTTAACGTAGCTGTGGAGAATCACCGTTTTAGGTGAGGCATCGAACCAAATGGGCCATTTTCATCCATTTTCCATAGCTATGTTAGAAATTACCGGTAGTTAAAACCCACAATCCCACAATGGACATGGACCGTGTCCATGTGTACAGGATTTTCCTATGTTTTGCCTCCATTTCTATGGGATTTCCCCAGCTAGCCGTGTTTTTTTAAACAAATTCCATTCACCAACGATTTGGTGGCTATTAGACATCATCCAAACTAAGGGCTATACACAACAATCATAAATCATCGTATCACATCCCTATAACATCCCTATAAATCCCTCTAAAATACAGTTTTTTATCCTTTTTAATCCCAAAAATCCCTATAAACCCTTAAAAATCCGTATAATATCCCTGTAAATCCCTCTAAAACGCATGTTTTAATCCTTTTAATCCAAAGCAAAAACCTATAAAATCCCTATAAACCCGAGAAACACACCATAGAATCCCTATAATATCCCTATAAATCCCTCTAAAATCAATTTTTTAATCCCTTTATACCCTATAAGGTCCCAAAAAATCCTCACCGCCAAGGAGGAGCTGCGGAAGAAACCTCCGGAGCTGGATGATGCCACCCCGCAGCCGCCGCTGAAGCGCCAGGTGGGCTGGTGACGATATTAATGGAATTTACCCTCTGGTAATTTAACATAGCTATGGAAAATCACAATTTTTCATGGGAAAACTCACTATAAATGGCAATTTTCAATAGCTATGTTAAATTACCAGAGGATAAAGGATATATTATATTAATCTGGGTAATATTAAATTAATCTGTAATCGAAACTTCAGGAATTCGTGCAAATATGGCGAAACAGTTAGCCTCACCCTGGGTAAATTATAACGACCACACTGCCACCTCACTGGGAATCATGGTTAAAAAGGGGAATCATCCCCAAATGGCCTTACTTCAGGTTAGTGAAATATTATAATTTACCCAGATTAATATATTATTAATGGATATATTATATAATGGAAACAATGGTAATTTAACCTAACACGAATTCTGGATTATTAATGGATAGATTATATGGGAGTTTCCATAAATGGGGGTACCCCAATAAATGGATGGTTTATAATGGATATAATGGACAATCCGAAAATAACATAGATGATTTGGGGGTACCACCATTTCAGGAAACCTCCATATCATGGAAATAATTGAAATTTAAGTAACAACAATTCTGGTTTAATTTGGATGTAATGGGAATATCATGGGAATACAATGGGATTGAATGGGATATCATTTACAACTAACCAACTATGGTTTTTGTTGGGTTTTTTTTTAGGGATATAAATCTCAACAATGGAGATATAAAGGACATATCACGGGGTAATGATGGGGATATCTTCATGAAATATAAGCAGCAACATGGAATATACAATGCACATATATCATGAGACTATCCTGGGACTTGATGAGACTTAGCGGGATATACTGGAATTATGGTAGGATTATAAGCGAATTTACTGGGATTCAACGGGATATTAATGGGATTTAATGGGATATGTATATATGTATAATTATATAAATATATAACTTTAGAATGGATTAACCGGGATAGTCACATTTTATGGCAATTCAACTATCAAACATGATGGTTTAATGGCGATACACTGGGGATCTAATGGGAAATACCACAGGGATATAACTATAGAAGGAGTCTAGTGGGTTATCTTCATGGACCAATGGCGAAACCGTGGTCATGCAACGTGGCGATGCTGGAAAATCCACCATTGATTTTCGCCACATGTGATGGCCTGAGGCGGTGGTTTTCTTTGGTTTAAATGGAGGTAGCCTGTCATATGACCATTGTTTGACCATGCCTCTACCATGATTGGACTGATGAAGTATGAATGTCCATGAATTTTCAAGATGGTATCTACCCTCTGGTAAGCTAACATAACTATGGAACGATCCACCATTTTATAGCTGGGTAAATCAACGATTTCAATGGGCCATGTTCCAGTTCGCTATGTAACAAATGACCAGAGGGTATCAATGGAGGTACCATAAGTGCAAAACATTGGCAAACTATGAGATGTAGCCACAAAAATGAGATAATATCTACGAAGATGAGGGTGTTTTCAGCCATGAATGGTTGATAAAAGTGGCTTGCATGGTTACTCATGATCCAATTTTTCTGCTCAGATCCCTGTTAGATCCAATTTCAAGTCACTGAAGTCATGACAAATCCGATTTCAGGTCGGGTAAATGACCTCAAATCCAGTTTTTGTCACATAAATTCATCTTCAATCCACTTTCAAGTCACCTACAGTAAATCTTCTAATTCATCTTCCATCCTTTTTTTTAAATTGACTTTTGGTCGTTTCTTCACCCCTGAAGGGTGAGAACGTTGTCAGGACACGGTGCCACCGCCGCCTCCGCCTGTCGAAGTAGCGCAGTCGCAGCGGAGTTTTTTCTTTGTTTACCAGAAAAGACAAATGAGCCATTAAAATAGCAATGTTGATCGGTTGTCCTAAAGGATTCTACTACACCTGGTTGGTGGTTTGGAACATTTTTTATTTTCCCATATATCGGGAATGTCATCATCCCAACTGACTTTCATATTTTTCAGAGGGGTGGCTCAACCACCAACCAGGCCTGGTTTAATGGGGATTAAAGGGGACTATGAACTAACCCATAGTAAGGAAACCCATCAAAGCACTAAAAAAACATGGGGACCCCACTTTTCGGCGCGGGCCAGGGCGTAGGAATGGCTACGACTATGGTTATATATAACCTCCACAAGTTGGGATATGATTCCCTAAAAAACTATGGTTACCCTCTGGTAATTTGACATAGCTATTGAAAATGGCCATTTATAGTGGATTTTCCCATAAAAAATGGTGATTTTCCATAGTTATGTTAGTTTACCAGAGGGTAAACAAATCCACTTATTTGTGGTACCTACTTGAAGGATCATTCCATTTAAGAACTGATAACTCTGGTGAGTAAGTCCCTGATTCGTGGCTTATCCCATTTGTAGGGAAAAGATAGGGATGTGAGTACGAAACCATGGGATTTAGATAAAGGAAAAAGGTTGGATTAAGCTAGGAGAAAGATGCGATTTCACCATCAGAAATGGGGATCTTGGAGGGAATTTATGGGGAGATATGTAGTGAAATGGTGGGTTTAGCAACAACACATGGGTGGTTTTACCGTCACCCATGGCTTTTTCTTTAGGTTAGAGTGTGATGGGTTTTGGTGACAAGAAATCGGGAATTTCACCTGCGATTTCTGGGTGGTTTGGCACATTTTTCGGGGGATGATGATCCAATCTGACGAAGTCCATCATTTTTCAGGGGGTGGCTCAACCACCAATTAGATTTGGCAAATGAGAAATCAATGAGAAATCAATGAGGAATCAATGATAAATCAATGAAACATAGTAGTGGGAGGGTGGGTGAGTGATTTTGCAACCAAGACAAACTGGGAGAATTAGCTACAATAATGCGAAGTTCACCACGATCAGATAGATCCCTTGGAAACAATGCCCTTGCAACCCTGCTCCCTGTAGATGGTACTTCCCATTTTTGTGGAATGGGTATGTCTGAAAATGGGGTATACCCCCAATTATAGCCATTTAGTAGGGATAATGATCATTAACCATTGGTGTAGGGGTACGCTATTTTCAGACAAACCCGAATAGATGCATGTGTTGCTGGCTGGTTTTTTAACACTTATGCTGCTGTGTTTTCCCTACACATGGGATAGCGATCCCTGACTATTTATCAGGTGAAAACCACCAAGAAGTATCATCCCACAAATCGTAGCTGTAAATAACTGGGTTACAACATGTTATAACACTTATATAGAAACTTCCAAACACTACCTGGTTGGTGGTTTCAAACATTTTTTATTTTCCATAATATATGATATATGGGATAATCCTTCCCATTGACTAATATTTTTCAAGATTGTTAAAAACCACCAATCAGCTACATAATCCGTTACCAACAAGCAGTTGCTTCTCTCTCCATTTTCAACTGTTTGTAGCAGCGGGAGGCCACATCACCAGACAGGACGGCTGAAGTTGGTAAATAACCACGGTGAAAACTCATCACTATGAAACCACACATTCATTTCCATGTAACACGGTAATTTTCTCAGTAAATGTGTTATGTTAAAACTTTCATTCGTTACATCCTGCAATGTCAATGGTCTAGAAAACGGTCATTTTTGCTGATCAAGGACCACTTGGATTGCTCACCACATCTGCATTGTTCACCCATTCTTCCTTAGAATATGGAAATTTCTGAAAATTAAGGTGCCCCATTTCTCAATTGGTTTATCCTGAATAAACATGACTCGACCAATAATTAACTTGTATGATATTTTGGGGTTCCGCATTTTTGGAACCCGTAGCTTTTAGGCAAATCACCAATTTGATAGCACATGTCCCAAATTTCATTAGTAAAATCCACAGTTTTGCTGGGGAACCTCCCAGTTGCAGGCACTTGAAGACTCAACTTCTGTCCATTTTTTCTAGTAGAACAAACATGCACACCCCGTCCATGTTTTTTTAAAATTCAGTCGGCACCAAAATCATCTCCCAAATTCCTCCAATTTGTCCCATTTTTTTTTCAATTTCAGGTCATGCAGGAGGCTCTAGCGCCTCAGACGGTTCCCGTGTCCTCTGCGTCCGTCCTGGATTCTTTTGCGCCGCCGGTTTTTTGGGCCCAGAGACCGGTTGTCGATATGGAGGGGTCCTAAGTCATGTGGGTGATCCCTGGTGATCATCTAAATCCATTAAACTCGTTGGGATTTTCGATGGGATTTTCCATGAAATTAAGTTCGCATCCAGCGAACTTGGGGATCAGAAAATGAGGACACGTTCACCTTGAAACGTGGCCCAAAATTTCATAAGCTAATTGTACCTCCAATCATGAACTCTTGGATGCGAAAACATGGATTCATGTAAATGTAAGTTTGGGGATGATCTATGATTGTGGATCCCCCATTGCACAATAGCCAGCTAAGAGTAGACTCTTTTGGTAGGGTAAGCAAGATCAAGGGATTCTAGATGTCCTTATCCCGCTGTTTGGTTGATAAAAATATTGGAGAACCCCTACAACCATTCAACATAGACAAATAATGGCAACTGGTACTGTATATCGAAGTGGCCCCAAAGTATGTGATCAAGCTGCGTTCTACTAGGACCGCCAGGAACTCCCACAGTTTTCCATCCAGTATGAGGGATTTTGAACATCTGCAGCAGAGAATCAAACGCAGAGTTGAGTTGATTTGTTGATCTCATTTTCTTGGCATCCGATTTTGGGTGAGTCGCGAGCTACCGGCAACTACGGATGTTGGACATATCATTGATTCCGGTGTGTTTATGACTTTATGGATGTTTATAGTCTGTATTTCATGGGCTGTCCCCTCCCGCCGTGTTAATGATTTCCCCTGTTTTGGTAGCCTGCACCATGCTTTCAATCGCTTCAATCTACTTTTTTTCTTAAACGTAGGATCTCAGTAAAAACCCTTGCTGCGGCAGGTTACTGGGCGATTTTTCTAGCGACAGAAGAACTTGACACGGCTTCGTCGAAGAGAAACCATCATTTTCTGTGGCTCATCATTTTTTTGCACACATTTCTGGGCCAAATCCATCTCCAACATTTACCCTCTGGTTATTTAACATAGCCATGGAAAATGGTCCATTTATAGATGAATTTCCCAGCTAGAAACCTCCATTTATAAGGGATTTTCCATGGCTATGTTAGTCATAACCAGATGTTTAATAGGTAAACCATCTATAAATGGGCCATCTATACCATGGCTATGTTAGTCATAACCAGATGGTAGAACAAATCAAGGGGCTTCATCCACCTTTTTTATCACGGCCATGGAAAGCTTTTGAGGCTCATCCTCCATCTCCGACCTCAGGAAAGAGACCGGTGCCTTTGCGATTCTTTTTTTGGGACGATTCGGGATGTCCTAAAAAGAATGGCCAAGATTTCTGATAGGAACATCTTCAAGACATATTTTCGGATTTTTTCGGTTCTAGGTTTTGAACATTTTCTGGGCGAAAAGTCAAAGATCAACTCGGTGGCCTGACCCCACCCAGCAGTTAGATACGCAAAGACCTATGTCTTGATGCTGGATTGGCTCGATTTTTTCCTCAAAGCTGGATGGTTTCATATCGGAAGATGGGTATCAACACTTGGCCCTGGCAATCCTGGTGAATATCCAGTGGAGAAAAAAGCGGGTGTTTGGAAAATCATCTGTATTCAATGGTAATCAAGCATGGCTGGAAGATCCCCGAAGTAAATGGAACAGGGGATTCTTCAGCACGATGTTTGATTAGCAGAGGGTAACCATTGCTTGGGAAGTTCTCCAGCTTCGACAAGTTTCGCTGAAACGCACCGACCCTGAGGCGTTACATGGGTCGTTAGAAAAGGCCTTGAGTCTCAAGTCGGATGAGGCTCAGAAGCATTTGGATGAATTTTTAACCAACGAGGATGGTGGTAAAATTGTTATCATTTTGGGTCCCCAAAATGGGCCTTTCGTTGGGATTGGGGCCCTCAGAACTTTTTTTTTGTGCATGGTTTGGAATACGCCAAAAGCAACAGCGGTATCATTGGGATGAGTTGGGGTACCACTTTTAAGATGGGTTGAACCAACCATCAATCAGTGGGCCCGTGATTGAAAATCGGGTACACCCAAAAGATTGCAATTTTTTTTTCAATGGGGATAAGAAATGATGATTTCAATGGGGATCAGGCTCCATTTTGGCCAGTTGAATCTCTATGGATGTTTAGATTCCCATTCTTCACATCTTTTTCTGTGCCAAGGGGCCTGGGCAAGGGTTCAAGGGCGCGGTTCTTGGGGCGGTGCTCCAGTTCCGAATAGGCTTAGTTGGTGCCTAGTTCACGTTCGGTGAATTCTATGGTTTATGGTAGAGATATCTAGAGATATCGAACTAGTTCCTGGGATTTATTCGCCAGAAGAAACATCACTGGAGGGGCACAAAAAAGCGGCTTGGAGATCCTTCCCTGCCATGGGGAGCCACAACTGGAGCTGAGAATTGAGCTTCCCAACCGCATGACAAGCAATTTGGCTGGTTAAATAGCATTTGGTAATTTAACATAGCTATTGAAAATGGCATTTTTTTAATGCGAAAATCCACTATAAATGGCCATTTTCAATAGCTATATTAAATTACCAGAGGGTAGCATTTGAATCCATTTGAACCAACTAGTAACTGCTTCATGAATGTTAACAAGCCTGGTTAGTTAAGTCCCGGAAGTAGATGGTCCTTTTTGCGGGTAGAAATGGTTACGGTTACCCTCTTGTGGTCTGGTGATCAAACATGGCAATGGGAAATCCCCCCCATTTAGTTTGACGATTTTTTCTCATTGAAACCTCCAATTTAGTTCGGAGATTTTCCAGCTTGCCATGTTTGAGGACACCGGAGGGTAATATGTAATATACCACTATCCCATTGTACTGTAGTCCCATCAATAATCCATGACTCATCCATGACTATTCCATTCTATATCCCAGTTAAATGATCAAACTGGTGAGTTAAACATCTACATCTAAGCAACATTTCACCCAAGATTTCACCGAAGATTTCACCTAAGATTTCACCAACACCGTTGGGGTAACCGTTACGTTGACCTCCGCATCTCAGCGGGCGGCCATCTCAGGAGGGATTTCAAGGCTCCACCTTCGCAGCCTTCGAGCTGAGAGCGAAGCCGGACACCAGGCCGCGGGCCGCGGGGCGTTTGGGGCGGGGCAGCTTTCCGATGGTGTTTCCGAGGTCTGGGGTTGGTCCTGCCATTGATGATCGAATTGATGTAGAACTGGTGGGTGGTTTGGAACATGAATGGATGATTTTTCCCATCATTTTGGGAATGGAAAATCATCCCAACTGACTTTCACTCCATCATTTTGCAGAGGGGGGAAATCAACCACCAACCAGAGAAGGATTTTCAAGTATAAAGCAGAGATCATCCCATTTATGATCTTCAAAGAAATCAACCATCCAGATATTGGATGATATCCATTTTTTTGTTGGGATTTTCCATGAAATAAACCATGCAGATATTGGGGCCACCTCCCATTTTAGGATGACACAGCCATGTGTGTCACATGCAAGAAATGCTGCAAAAGATTGGGGTTGAGGATTTCTGCAAAAGATTGGTGGTTTCAGCTACAACACAGAATCCCACGTGGTGTTTGTTTCACCCATGGGTAGGCTGAACCAGCAGATAAATATCTAATATATATATATATTAGATATATTAGATATATTATATATATATTATATATATTATATATATTATATATATTATATATATTATATATATTATATATATTATATATATACATATTATATATAACGTATCAACGAACGAGAGCGGAGTTTTCACCAAACATGGAGATGTATCCCATCCCAACAACCAGAAATCGGGATCTAAACCTGCAAAAAGATTCTGGAACAAGCCACTTCCAGATGGGTGCGGGCGAAAATTCAAGACCCTATGATCCGAAAATCTTGGTCTTTTTTGATATCTCCCAACAGACTTCTCACTGGTCATGGTTTCCGACCAAGACTCTGAGATTGATTCGTTGCAGGACAATTGTCATTGTGAACTTGGTGCTTTCAAAGACCTTTTTGTATCCCCAAAATGGGACAATGATACCTATACTATATATATACTCTACCAATGATGGTGGGTGACTCAACAACCAAAAACTGGCAGCAGAATCCACGCCATTCAAAGAGACCCTTCCACTGAATTGATGTTTCCCACGTCATTGGGGAAATGTGACCGGGTCAGTCTCTTTATGTGACTCATATCTAAGCTAATCTTAGATAATCTTAGATAATCTTAGGTCAACATCAGCTACTGGATTTGATGTTGTGCAAGTTATAAACCAGTATAAGCCGTATTTGGTTGGTGGTTTGGAACATGAATGGATGATTTTTCCCATCATATTGGGAATGTCATCATCCCAACTGACTTTCACTCCATCATTTTTCAGAGGGGTAGGTCAACCACCAACCAGAAGTCTTAAGTTGGTGAAGTTGATATTTACCATATATTTACCATATATTTACCATATATTTACCATATATTTACCATATATTGTTATAAACCAGTAGCCATTATAGAAATTCAGAAAAACCATTACAAACCCCAGGAACAGCGCCATCGGGGCCATCAAGTTCCACCAAAGAAAAACCCCGGTCACTGCCATGGCAGGATTGGAGCCTCCGGCTGACCGGCGGCTTGTAGGAAGCGGAAGGTGTAGCTGCGGAACGTGCGTGACTTCCCCCCCAGGGATGATGATGATGTGTCTCGGGGCTCGAGAAAGAGCCGGTGGAAAGGTCAGATGCCTCTGAAACAGTGACCTTTAGCCACTTTTGGGCATCTTCTTGGGATTTGCTTTCGCTCCAAACAGAGTAAAGAAGTCGGAGGTTGGACTTTTGAAGGTCAAACATTGACAAGGTTCGTGCTCAAACCTATAGGATGTCTGTTCCTGGGAGGGGGAATCCACACACGATTTGTTGAACTTTTCCAACGGAAAGGAGTCTGCAACAAAGCTGCACGTGTTACATATACTACCTGTGCCTGGGGATGAAAGTGGAGGTGCATATTACAGCATTGGATTGAATATTTCTTTGTTCCAACGATTTCCGGTTGGCGGTTTCATTGAATTCACGTGGTAAAACACAATGATTAAACTCCACTTCGGGATGTTTTTTCAAAAACATTTCCCAAACAGTATGTCCACACTGAGGGGTTCTTACGGTAGGTGAAAAAAGGCCGGGGTTAGATTTTTTGGTGCTCCTTCTGGGTAGCCGCAGAGAATAGTACCCAAAAAGATGCCGAAGAAGTAATTTATCACTATTATTCATATTAATATTAACCAGTAATGATTATTAATGATATTAATCATGCTTTATCGAACTTAGTACATGGTTTTTATCTACTTTTCTATCCTCTTGGGGCTTGATATACTTGAAACGTTGTTCAGGACGCGCTTTTGCCGTCACGCAAGCAGCGCGATGGCGCCAACGTCTTTCAGGGTAAATCAAGAGTGTTTCCCGAATCCTCCAAGAAAATCCTTGGGTTCAGAGATGCCGCACCCAGAAGGCGTTTCTCCAAGCCCTTCGCCGAGCGAACGCTTTGGGGAAACCCCCAAAAAAACGGGTGGCCAACGGCGCAAGACGCGCCTTGCGCGGTGTGACCTGCGCCGCGAGACGGGCGTGACGTGACGCAAAGTGTGAAAGAATGGGGGCGCTTCGAGCTGGGTCAATCTTGAAGGGTCAGTTTAATATTTTAATGTTAGTAAAGCAATAATAAACCAACCATATTTTGTTGGTTTATACTTATACCTTCCATGTATGGTAAATTTGGGGATTGTTTATTAAGGCTTTACTAGCATTGATGTGGTAAATCCCATGCCATAAACTATCCAACCAACCATGACTGCGGCTCATTTTACATCATCCCATGGCTAGGCCCAATAATAAACCTCTATTGGGGATACCCTCTGGTTATGACTAACATAGCCATGGTTAAGCCATGGCCCTAATCGAAATAGATGGTTTACCTGGGTTTACCGTTCTTAAAAATGGTGGATCTTTCCATGGCTATGTTAAATATGTTAAATACCCAGATGGTACATGATGGTACCTCATTCATCTTTAATCTGTTGGCATAAATGAGAAGATGACGCAATACCTGCATACCATCGATTGCCCGTGGGAGGGTGAGAGAATCTCTACAAATTAGAATTAATGTTAAGCACCTGGGTTCTCACTTCGCCCCCTTACGGTTTGATATCTTGGGATATGAACCACTAGCCAATCACTTACCAACTTCAAAACTATTTGTCTATCTCAGTCTTCAAAAACCCGGATGTCTAAGATCCATGACAAAATGGGGGTCGGCCTTGGGCCCCTAGACAGATACTGCACATTGCTTGGTTTCGTTGCCCAAATATCAGGTGAAATGCTCAATTCACTACCGTGCCATTGGCAATTTTCGACCTTCCCAACCTGACCTCTAAGTATCTGCGGTTTCTGGGTGAACTGTAGCTTTCTCACAAGCGCCGCAAGAAACATGGTTTCTTAAAGCAACTCTCCCATTTTTGAAGGCATACCCCATTCTCAGACACTCAAAATCACTCAAATCCCCAAGAATCATTGCTTAACTTCTTGTTTTTCTAGCAGTTCCGTTAGTTTTTCTTGCTTTTTGGGTGATGCTTGGTAATGTATACATACTCGTACTTGTAACCACTAGAAATGAAACTTTTAGCAGGGGTGCTGGGAACCAACCAGTAATGATATCTCATCTTGGGTGTTCAGCCATGATGCCTCAATTTATGAATGATTTCCCACTATCTCTATATATATATATACACATAGATACAGTATATCATATATCCCGTTAGACTCGCAGTGCATTCCATATGTTCTAATCCCAGCATGGTCTATTATATATTAAATCACATGAATACAATAATACATATGTTTTAAGTCACACTATATCCCGTTATATTCCCATGATATTCCCATATAGTCCCACTGTATCTCCATTAGAGTTTATAAAGAATATCCCATTCATGTCCCATTTTTGGATCCCAATTCATCATTGTATTCCCATCAAATCCAAACAAAACACAATTATTCATGGGTTTAGAGATGGTTTTCCCATTCTATTCCCATTGGATCCCATTAAAATCCCATTCTATTCTCATAGAATTTTCATGAGTTTCCATTAAATCTGGGTAAATTATAATGACCTCACTGCCACCTCACTGGGAATCATGGTTAATAAGGGGAATCATCCCCAAATGGCCTTAATTCAGGTTAGTGAAATATTATAATTTACCCAGATTAAATCCCTATCTGTCGATCCCTATTTTTGCTGTTCAAAACCACCAATATCTCCGGAGCTGGGTATCGGTCGAGGAGGGCCTTGCTGTGAGTGAAGGGGGACCAAAGCTCAGCTTGCACCGGGACATGGGGGATTTTTGTTCACTAAACATGCGGAGCTTAAGTAGGGAAAATTGATGAAAATTGGGAACGTTGCGAGAACTAGGAAAGTTGGGTTGATACTTCGGAAAAATCGGGATACCATGGAAAAACATTGGGATATTTAACTGGGAAAACTTGCAACTTTAAACCAGGAGAAAGGGAGGGATTTCTAGATTTCCTTGTTGGGTTTGGCCTTTCCTTGAGGGAGACAGACACTATTTCAAACAAATTTTGAGGGAAGATATGGGAAGATGATCAACAACTGGATTTTGCCCATGGGGTACCCTTGGACCTGCTTGCGAAATCCTGCACCAGCTGGCGATCTATGCCGTTACAATCCCATTCTTTGCAGTGTTTCATAGTTACCAGTAGTTACCAACTGGTGCAGGATTTCGCAACCATCCACAGTATGTTGGATACAAGAATGGCTCCCCCAGTTCCAAGTTAGTTTGAACCCACATCGAACTATTCTATTCATATCTCCACCATGAATCCAATCGTTGGCGTAGTTTTTTTTCATCTTTTTGCTCAACAATCAACCTCAAGTTGCCTATCAAACATCTCATTCCAAAACAACTTCAGGGGACCATCCCACTACTTGGTGGTTCATCCCACGGCTCGTAAGTGAGTTATAACCCCAATCAAAAAAGTGGATTAACCCTGCTTATCCCATGTCAATCACTGGGGTTATAACCCATTTACGAGCCGTGGGATGAGCCACCAAGTATGGGGATGACCATCCCCGCTGGTAACCCATCCTTTGGATCCTCCTTGAGGTCTGGAGCGACCCATACGCTCCTACCAGTTGCTGGGGTTCACGACCTCAGCCCGTGGCTGAATGACTTGGATGATGACTCGGGGGGGTACCCCGTGGCCAAAATTTTGGAGATCTTAAGTTTTGGAAATGGATGATCCCAAGTTTGAAAGATCTTGGTTTCCACTTGGCAAGTTCAAAGTTTGGTTCAGGTCAAGAAACTATGGTTCCTTTTAGAAAATATTGCTGTGACTGGAACTTGATTGTAAAGCATCCCACTTTGAAGAGAAATTACGCTCAGCCGCTATAAATTTCACTCAAAGTCCCATTTGAGGTCTCTCCATTTTTGGTGATGCTCATCTGGCAAAGGTCACACAAAACAGGGATCCTTTTCAATCAGATGCCGAACAGCTTGCCAGGATATTCGGTCGATAATGTTTCCACCACAATTTCCAACTTTCCAACTTTTCAATCTATTTGAGTCGCTAGAAACGAACACCGATTCAATATTCTGGGGAAGCAGAAGAATCAGATCCAGAATGATGTATGATTCATCAGAGCTGGTTAGATGTTTCACTTCTTTCACTTCTTTCAGCCCACCCTATTTGATGGCTCAACCACCACCTTAACAATCAATATTCGCATTCAATATTAACAATACACATTGACATATGAACAATCAATATTGACACTAAATATTGAGAATCAATATCCACATTCAATATATATATATAAATTATACAAGTTATCCAGTGCATTTTTCTGAGGAGTTTGTTGCTTGACTTCCCAGTGTGGGATCCCGAAATGTTGATGATTCATGGGTGAAATCCCTATTTTCCCATCGTTAAGTCACCATTTTGGCTGGCGAAATGCAAGATTTCTCCCGGTATAGATTTTTACATTCCCATGATATCCTCTATTTTATTTTCATAGTTATTCCCATGATATGCCCATTTAAACTTTTTCTATAATCTTCATAGTTATTCCGTTATTCCCATGATATGCCCAGTTTCATGAACAACTTCTGCATGAAGAAGCCCTAACACCCCCAGCATCTCCTAGGAATCAAGTGACGCTCTCAGAGGGTGATGCTGTGCTCACAAACACAGGACTGGGGATTTGGGGATGATGTCGGAAGGAGATTTACACCTCTAGTGGTGACTGAATAGTGTCAATGGTGTTGAATAGTGCTGTTGAATACTGGATACTGTTAATGGTATTGATCATATGGTGTTGAATAGTGTTGGATACTGTTTAATAATGGTTAATAATTGGAGTAATGTGGGTAAATCAATGTCATAAACCAGCCATGAAAAACGTACCACCAAGTCATTGCCATTTGCTGCGCAGCTTGTGCCATGTCATAACACAATGATGTATGGGGTTCAATGTTTAAATATGTTTAATGTTTACAAAGCCCAAGTAGTGTTTAACCTATAGTTTCGTCATGTCTAATGATGTTGAATGTCTACCAAATATACTAATGTGGGTAAAAGAATGTCATAAACCACCCATGACTGGGAATGGTTTATATATACCACATAAAAATGGTGATGACTGGGGGAT